CTGCAAAAATGTTTGAGCTGTAAGGTCAGTGGTTCAAGTTCACCAGCTGCTCCTCAGAAACCCTATACAGGGTTGCTATGGGAGAGAATCAACTTGACAGCAGTTAACAAATTCCCAGGAGCTCTTGTAGCATAGTGGTTACAAGTTGGGCTGCTAACCTCAAGGTCAGCAGTTCTAAACTACCACTGATACTGTGGGAGAAAGACGAGGCTTTCTGCTCCTATAAAGATTTACAGCCTTGGAAACCCTAAAGGGTGTGGGGTCGCCGAGTCAGAAGGGATTCCAAGGCAAACCACCACTAAATAGTTCCCAGAAACACCCCACTGCATCACTAAGCCTTAGTCTGAAGGCACTCAGCTCTCTAGCTCTGAGTCAGATAGCCTGACTTTGCCAAAAAACGCCCAACGACACCCACAAGCCTCCTGCACAAAGGCACTCAGCTCTTGCTCTGCTCTGTGGGTCAGCTACCATGCTGTCTTGTATTGGTCTCCTGGTTCTGTTGCTGTAGTTTCTGTACCATTGATTTTCATCATCTCTGCCATCTCTGATGATACAACTCTTCACGCTTCTGAGTCCTCATCAGAATTGCTTTTGACATCCATAATTCCACCAAATCTCTTCTAGGCAATCTAGGCTTATTCTATTAGGCAACTTAGTTATTATTCCAGCCTCTCGTTACCTAATTCCAAAGCAACTTCCACATTTTAGGTGGAAGTTAGAGTAGAATGACACTCCTGATACCAAATTCTTAGTACTGTTGTAACAGAAACAATATAAGTGGATGGCTTTAGCAAATAGATATTTATTCTCTCATAGGTTAGAAGGCTAGAAGTCTGGAGAAAGATCCTCTTCTCCTTTCAGGACATGTAGGCCTAGCATTCCTTGGAGGTCTCTATGTGTCAATCTGTCTTTGGATCTAGTAGTTTCACAATAGAGGGACCTCAGGTGCAAAGAGCACACTCTACTCCCAGCTCTTGGTTGCAGTAGCTCCATCTGAATTCTACTTCTTTGTCTCATCTCTTCTATATCTCAAGAGATTGACTCAAGATACAATATAATCTTATAGACTGCACCTGACCTCATTAACACAGAACTGAGGATTTACAGCACATAGAATAATTATATCAGATCAGGGCTGACGATATCACGAGTGATTACTACATCTATACTGTTAAACTACTAAGAACCCTGGTCCAGTCAAGTTGGCACAAAACCTTAACTATCAGAGACTGCGGACCAGAGTGAGGTGTGCATGTTGGCATGCCTAAGAGGCGCTTCTGAACTGAAGGACTGTATCCTGATCCTGAATTGTACTCTGCTAATTTCCTTGGATGAAAAATCATTCTTCTTGGATCAACTATCATCACTCACGGACGCAGCAGTCAAGAGATCAAACAACGTTATTGCATTAAGCAAATCTGCTGCACAAGACATTTAAAATTGTTGAAGAGCAAAGATGTCAACTTGAGGACTAAGGTGCGCCTAACCCAAGCCATGATGTTTTCAGTAACCTCATATGCATGTGATAGTTGGACAGTGAATAAGGAAGACAGTAGAAGAAATGATGCCTTTGAGTTATAGTGTTGGAGGAGAATATTGAAAGTGCCACGAGCTGCCAAAAGAACCAATAGATCCATTTTGGAAGAAGTGCAGCCAGAATGCTCCTTAGAGGCCAAGCTGGCCAAACTTTGTCTCTCATACTTTGGACATATTGTCAGGAGGGAGCAGTCACTGGAGAAAGATATCATGTTTGGTAAAGTGGAGGGTCAGAGAAAAAGAGGAAGACTCCCAGGGAGAGGTATTGGCAAAGGGGCAACATCAATGGGCTCAAGCGTGGCAACAATAGTGAGGTTGGCCCAGAATCAGGCAGTGTTTCGTTCTGTTGTGCACAGGGTCACTATGAGTTGGTACCGACTCGATGGCACCTAACAACAGCAATTTCCCTAATGTGGTGCTGTGGGTTAATGTACTAGACTGCAGTCAGTTTTAACCACAAAATTTGCTGTTCAAGCTCAGCAGCTGCTCCTCAGAAACCCTATGCAGGGTCGCTATGGGTCGTAACCGACTCTACAGCACTTTAACAACAAACTTTCATATTAAACCTCATAATCATGACTTGTTACTGTTGTCAAGTGCCGCTGAGTGGATTCTGACCCATAGCGGCCCTGTATAGGGTTTCCAAGGAGTAGCTGGTGAGCTTGAACCGCCGACCTTGCAGTTCAAACGGCTTTGCAGTCTGGCCTGAAAATTCTGTGTGATCGCTGCAATGAATTACTGAATAAAGCAGAGAAGCAGAGAGTGCTGTGGGACAGATACCTGGTATCAGATTTGGTTAGGGAACAAAGAAGGATGGAGGCATGTCTGATCTCATCCTTATAGGAATTAACCTTGGGCAGATGTTTTTTCTCCTTCCTTCTCGTGAAGTTAAAGGAAGGCAGACACCATCCTTCAGAGTTTTGTAATCCCATACCAGAATTCAGAACTTGATTTAGTTTGATCAGCCTCTTCAGATTTCTAGCATTCCCATCATCTAGCATGTCTTACATTCTGTTAGGTAGGCACAGTTCATATTACTGTGAGAGATCATGCAGAGAAAACCCCACAAGCTCTTACTGGCCTGTGAATCCTATCAAGTAACAGCAGTCACCACGAGGAGCTCTGGGTGTGCCAATGTCACTTACCAAAGCAATGAACAGTGCCCTTAGCAGCCATATGCCAGAGAAACATTCAGCATTCATGGTCAAATGGTCTCACATTTTAAAAATTATCGTTGAACTGGAAATAGTGGAGTGAAAAGAAAACATTTCTATTTTGATTCTCATTCAGAACAACTTTTTTGTGTATGTGATTCAGTTTCAATTACACTCTGACGAAAATTTTTTGTTTCAGTTCTGTTCGTATTCAAAGCTGAATTTGAGGCCTTACCAGACAGGTAGCATAAAAGAACAAGAAAGCAATTAGGATTTAAAGCATATTCAAGAGAATAATTGTATTAATGGATGGAGTCCTGGTGTGGTACTTTAGGATAAGCACTGGACTGCTGTGAGGTCAGCAGTTCAAATCCACCAGCCACTCCTCAGAAACTCTATACAGAGTTGCTATGAATCAGAACCAACTCCATGGTACTTAACAACAAAAGATTCTAAGCTAGTTATGTAAAGAGGGAGGGATATATCTGAAAAAGCCAGCTAGCTCTGAGTTTGTAGGATAAGAACAGGATATTTGAAGTAGTGCCTTGGGACGTGCAGATCTGGGTTAAAGTGTAAACTTGGGCACAGTAGACCAAGGCGAGGGAAGATTATTACAGGCAAGAAAGACATGTATGCATAGACTGGACATGAGGGGCAACCACAAGTCCTCTAGATGTCACTTATTAATCTGACTCTGGTTTGGAATGTGTCGCAGATTTAATATAGCCACAAATTCTTTGGTACTCTTCACATTGAGAGCTGAAGGTCTCGGTCCCAGGGTCCATCTGGGTAGATTCTGTGTGTGTTTTGACTAGCAGAATACAGTGGAAATGGTTCTGAGACAACGTCTGGGTCCAGGCCTTGACACAGTAACAGCTGCTTCATAACTCTTGGAATACTTGCTCTGTTACTGAGCTCATGGAGAGGCCTTTAGAGAATGCCATCTTAGAAGAGTAGAAGAGTAAGGCCAGCTTTATAGTCCAGCTGAGTTATACACCAGCCCACCCACCAAAATCAATCCACTGCCATCAAGTCAATTACAACTCATAGCAACCCTGTATAGTTTCTGAGACTGTAAGTCTTTATGGCAGCAGAAAGTCTCATCTTTATCCTGTGGAGTGGCTGGTGGGTTTGATCTGCTGACCTTGTGGTTAGTAGTCCAGTGCTTATCCTACAGCACCACCAGGACTCCATCTAGTCACCTCAAAGCACACTATGTGTATGTAGCAGAGATGAGCAGTTCCAGTCAGTTTGTCATAAAGCAAGGTCTAATGAGGATATAATGTGATATACATTAAGAGAAGACAGAACATTGGAATTATGATTAAATTGAGAGAGACCATCATGATGTAAATCAACAAACATTTAAGATAATTTCAGATATACATATAAGGGTTAAATTATAACACCTTGGGTTACAATTACCAAGTCCAGTTTGATAAGAGGCCTATCTGTTGAACCCTAGTCAGATTGATTTATTTCTTAAATCTACTTTCCTATCTGGACTTAATGGTTCTGACTCCTAATATTTCCAGATATTAGATATTTTTCATAAGTTTCTAACCAGGATTTTGGGATAGCAGAACCTGTCTTCTTATGCTGCTCCCTAACTCTATAGGTCAAGGAAAGTAATACCTCTGTATGAGAGGGATAAAGAAAGTGTGGAAAAATTGGATTTGTAAGGTAACAGAATTTTCCATATTTTTTTCTTAAACCCCTCATATTTTGCTTCATTTTGTACTCCTCAAAGAATGCATCATATCAGATTAGTCAGAAACGTCCCGTATTCATTAGGACACAAGTATAGGTTTGCAGGTTGATATGCAATTAGATTGTATTAAAAAAAAAAGATAAAATCGAGACAAGTTATATTCAGTACAATCAGAAATAAGTATTTCATAAAAACAATTGTGAGGATGGTGTAGGACCAGGCTGATTGCACCTAACAACATAGAGCCTAACTTGGAAAACATAATTACTTTGATGTACTTATTTAAAACAAATTTCATGTAAGTCTTATATTAGAAGATGTCTATGAGTTACTAAGAATGGAAGGCAAAGAGATTCCACAAAAAGAATTAAAAGGTATTCTGGTGATCTATCTTGGGTGTCATTAAAAATAGCAACTTAATTTTTGAAGTAATTACCTAGGAAGAAGTACAGAAAAAGGGCAACTGGAAATGATATTCTATTATCATAAGTTTGAATATCCTTTTTTCTGTAATTTCTTGTCAGCTAAAATTATTTTCTGGGTCATCTCTTTAGGTGAGACTGTTGACATTCAGTATTAAAAACCAACGTTGATGTACACTATTTTGGTTTCACTTTTCTTTTTGCATCTTTATGTTTCTTCCGACAGTCCTAAGAAAACAAAACCAAAAATCTTTGTTAACAATAAATGTAAATTTATTTCATTTTTCAGTTGTTAAGCAACTATAAAGTAAAAGTTAGCCTCTCAAGCCTCAGGATTGCATACAGTCAAGTCAGTGCACCCATTTTAGAAACACAAGCACTAGTTTAGACTGAACAAGAAATCGTAAAAACTTTGGGCTTGGCATCTTTTCTTAAACTTTTTATTGTCAACTGGGTGAAGATTTATAAAATAGATCAATTTTCCATTCAATAATTCATACACATATTGTTTCATGTATTGGCTTCAAATCTTTATAGTGAGAACTACAATTCAGCCTTAAAAATAAAACACACATCAGTTTTTCACGTTACTCAAGAAGCCTGGGTGGCACTCTAGAACCATTCTTCTGCGTCCTCATTTGGTCTTTGCATGGGTTGAATTAAACAGCTTCTAAATTCCCTCAGCTCTACTAAATCTGAGAGTTTAAATCATGCTCTCAGTTGTCATCATTTCTTAAGTTTCCAACCTCAATCCAAGGACTCTTACACAACCAAGGAAACAGTGACACATTAAAGAAATGCAGAAGGATAGATCACATTTACTTTAGAAGACAATCGACATAGAGGTACCATACTCACCATATGCAGGCTATTTGTTCGGGCTTCCCAAGAATTCCTGTTTATATTATTTCCTGCTCCTCTCCAGAATAACTCAGAACCCACTAGGGGAAAATGATTAATTACATAATTGCAGTTAATTAATAGCAAAACACACAATATTCTAGTGCTGGCATCAAGGTCACCGATGTAAATTCTAGCTAAAGCCATTTTTAAAAAAAAGTGTGGTGAAATATACTAAACAAAATGTACAGTAATTTACTAATTTCTACACGTGTAATTCAGGAGCTCTGGTAGCATGGTGGTTACGAGTCTGACCGCTAACCTCTAGATCAGCAGTTCAAAACTACCAGTATTTCTGTGGGACAAAGATGAGGCGTTTTGCTTCCTTAAAGATTTACAGAATTGGAAACCCGATGCAGGGTTGCTATGAGTCGGAACCGACTCCACAGCACACCACCACCACAGGTATAATTCATAGACTGCATTCTTCAAGTTGTACAACCATTCTCACTATCCTCCAAATCATTCCACTAAGACTCAATGCAACGTAAGCAAAAACTCCTTCTTTCTTTCTCTTAGAAATCAAAAATAATTTTTGGTTGCTACATTTTTGCTTGTTTCATATAAGTGAGATCAAACTGAATTTGTCTGTTTGTAACTGACTTACCTCATGCAACATGCTTTCTAGGCTCATTCCTGTTATGTCTAGCATCAGGACATCTTTTCTCTTTATTCATGAGCAGTTACTTTGGTTGTTACGTGCTGTCAAGCTAGTTCCAACTCACAGTGATCCTGTATAGGGTTCTCCTAGGAGTGGCTGCTGGGTTTCAACCACTGGCTCTGTGGTTCAAATTGACCTTGCAGCCCAGTGCTTATCCTACAGTGGCACACCAGGACTCTGAGCATTAGTACACTGTATATATAAAACACTTTTTTATTTATCCATTCACTAGGTGAGTTTCCACCTTTTGACAACTATGAATACTGCTGCAGTGAACATTAGTGTCTATGTCGGTTAATGTTGCTGCTTTCAGGTCTTCTGACTATATACCAGCAAGTGTGTTTGCTGGGTCATAAGGTAATTCTCTGTTAAACTTTTAGAAATATCACCAAACAGTTTTCCACAGTTGCTTCATCGTTTTTCTCTTTCCACCAACAATGGATGAGAATTTCTGTTGCTCTACAACCTCAGCAACAACCTAATGTTTTCTATTTTGGAATCACTGTCATTCTAATAGGGTAAGACAGTTTCTCATTATAGTTTGCGTTTGCATGTTTCTATTGACTAATGGTGTTGGAGGAGAATATTAAAAGTACTATGGTTTACCAGAAGAATAAACAAATCTGCATTAGAACAAATACAGCCAGTATGCTCCTTTGAAGTCAGGATGGTCAAACTTTGTCTCTCACACTCTGGGCATTTTATCAGGTGGGACCAGTCCCTGGAGAAGGACGTCATACTTGGTAAAGTGGAGGATCAGCGAGAAAGATGAAGACCCCCCAAAGAGATGGATTGGCACAGTGACATTAGTGGGCTCAAAGTGTAACAAAGATTATGAGGCTGTCATAATCTTTGTGCGACTGGGCAGTGTTTGTTCTGTTGTGGATAGGGTCACTGTGAGTAGGAACTACCTCACACAGCATCTAACAGCAACGACAATGGGGGATTTATTACCTCTTACCTGTCAAACCACAGAATCCAGGCCCAGCCATGCTGACACAAAACCGTAACTATCAAATGGACCAACATCATGATAAACAGAAAAAATTAACATCATGATAAACAGAAAAGATCACAGTTGTCAAAGGCTTTAGTTTGCTTGGATCCACAACCAACGAATGGAAGCAGCAATCCAGAAATCAAATGACGATTGTATTAGGCAAATTGGCTGTAAAAGACCTCTTTAAAGTGTTAAAGAGCAAAGATACAACTAATCCAAGCCATGGTATTTTCAGTGGCTTCAAGTGCATGTGAAAATTGGACAACGAATATAAAAGACTGGAGAAGAATAGATGCATTTGAATTATGTGCTGATGAAGAATACTGAAAAGTTCTATGGTCTGCCAGAAGAACCAACTAACTTATCTTGGAAGAAGTACAGCCAGAATGCTTTTTAGAAGCGAGGATGGAAAAACTTCAGCTCTCATACTTTAGATATTATGCTGTCAGTAGGGACAATTCCATGGAAAAGTACTTCATGCTTGGTAAAGTAGATGGTCAGCGGAAAAGAGGAAGGTCCCTAACCAGATAGACTAACACAGTGACAGCAACAATAGGCTCACACATAACAACTGTGAAAATGACACAGGATACAGCAGTGTTTCAATGTGCTGTACATAGGTTTGTTATGAATCTAACTGACTTTACTGGGGGAGGAGCACTTCAGAAAAGAGGGTAGTCATGGTTGCATAACTTAAGGAATCAATCTCAATGAATTATACGCATAGAAATTATTGAATTGGTATATGTCTTGCTGTGTACATTTTCAACAACAAAAATAAAATATATTTAAAAAAAATAATAATAAAAGAGCTGCATCTGTTATACTATAGCAGTTATTGGAAAAATGGACTTACCATGAAGTCTTTCATCATTCTTAGAGAAAAAGAAAAATCTACTGGTCTCTTTCTCAGGTAATGATACTTCTCTGAAAAGAAAATGAAAGAGAAAGACATACACACAATATTGGTTGGTGTAAATGCAATCTTTCAAAAGATGTGTTGTACTAAAAAGACTGAAACTGCTTTGAAAACTTGGACCCAACAGCGGCGAATATGAGGACACCGGAGGTGGCTGTGGCTGTGATGGAGTGTGTTAGGGTTGGGATGGGGTCAGAGGAGAGGATGTGTTTGCTCCTCTAATAGCAACCAAGCCCAGAGTCACCCACTTCCTGCCTGTCTCCCCTTTTCTCCTGGGGAGCTACAAGACCACCTCAGCCGTTGTGTTTTGGTTTTTTTGGACAGTGTGAAAGAAGAAAACACAGAACACAGAAAGCACAATCCCTTCCTCAAATTAGCTAACTCAGACACTCTGGGATACACACTGGCCCCAAAGCTGCAAGTACCAGAAAAAAATCAAATGCTTCCTACATAGCATCACCTTACCCACCCAGTGTGCTGAGGCCCCACTCCCAGTGCCCACACCACAACCACTGCTTTCTTTTCCCATAAGATCTAGTCTTAGTTTCATTATTTTCTTTCAATTAAAATGACAGATATACAATTGTTATGCAAAAGTTTCTGAATTGTATCTAGTTATACAGTACAGTTTAGAAACTTGTCTGAAAGCAGTTTTCTCAGTAAGATCTTATCTGTGTGTATGTGACTACCAATTTTTACTTTATTGGATTCACTAACCCAGGACCATTTCAGTAATGCAAATTATGTGCACTCTGGTTTAGCTGACACAGCTGCGGACTTTTCAGAAACCCCTGATGAAGTCTCCCACCATTGTATAAATTAAACACTTTTGGATTTTTAAAAAACTTCTGAAGAACATCCTACCCCTTCTCTATTCAATATTTTTCTTTTCTATTTGAAGCTTTAATAATCAAGACTTGCTTTCTGATAGCACATGCCCATCCTGAAGCTCCACCACACCTCTGGTTGCCAGTAGTCCCATGGGGGAGGTCAGACAGCCCACTGCAACAACCAGTTCCCAAGTAGCAACATCACTGTCACTTCCCTGTTTCTGTGCTCATCAGATCCCCTTGGTGCTCAACTGGTGCTACCCAAATCTCAAAGAAAATGAAACAAGTTCCCAGTACAAAAGGTTAGAGAGCTCTCTAAAGGAGCAAACAGAGAGAAGATAAAGTTGTTTTGTGGATGTAAGTTTAGATACTGAGGTGGCGCTGTGGGTTAATGCACTGGACTGCAAAGTCATTTGAACTGCAAGGTTGCAGTTCAAGTTCACCAGCTGCTCCTCGGAAAACCCTATACAGGGTTGCTATGAGGCAGAACCAACTCACGACACTTAACAACAATACTATCTCTTAGGACTCCTAATGTGATGCTGTAGGATCAGTACTGGACTTTGAACTACAAGGTAGGCAGTTGAAGCCACAAGCTTACTCCTTGGAACCCTATACAGGGTAGCGATGAATCAACCAATACATTGGCACTTAACAAAAACAACAAATATTATCTCTTTTATATGTCTAACTCAGATTTTATGAAATATTACATATAATTATACAGAAAAAAATTACTTACTTACCCAGGGTTGGGGTTTTTTTGAAGTACTTCTTCAACAGTATCTTCCCCTTCTGAGCTGCTATCTTGGAAACAAGAGTCTCGCTGCCAGGCAATCTTTCCAGGTTTTATTATTTCAGTTCTATAGGTGTCTGTATTGTCATAATAAAAATGATGATAGAGTTATAACTGAACAACCAAGTACTTCTGAACAAGTAGGCTAAATTATCATATTTTTATAGAAATAACATATGTAATGACCCCCTATTGTCATGTAAGTATGCCAAGGTAATTCTTTTGTATACCATTGAAAGAAAAAATTAGCACTGCACATTACCCAAACACCTAGTGGAGACAGAGTTATTTGAAAGAAACATGTAACATATGCAATAAAAATACAGTACAATCACTGTGCACAATTATCTTTAAATTTACAATATGTTAATCATTAATTAAAACCAAAAGGGAAGAACATGCTCAGTATTTCTCAAGCTGGAAAAAAAAAAAAATAAATAAATAAAAATTCAAATCTTGCATTGTAATACTGAGGGATTCCATGCGCAAAATAGGAGTGCACTGGCTCAATGCAGTAAGCACTGAACTGCGAACCACAAAGACTGTACTTTGAGCCCACAAACCACTCTGTGGGAGACAAGATGAGGCTTTCTGTTTCTGGGAAAATTTTAAGTCTCAGAAACCCTATACAGGGTGGATACAAGTTGGAATCGACTAAAAGGCACTTAACAACAACAACAACAAAAACAATATGTGCAAAATACTGAATGAGACAAAAGGCCTCAAAAGAAGATGGAAGGAATACACGGAGTCACTGTACCAAAAAGAAATGGTAGATGTTCAACCTTTTTAAGAGGTTGTTGTTGTTATATGCCGTGGCGTCAGTTCCAACTCATAGTGACCCTGTACGGGGTTTCCGAGGCTGTATATCTTTATGGGAACAGAAAGCCTCATCTTTCTCCCACAGAGCAGCTGGTAGTTTCGAACTGCTGACCATGAGATTAGCAGCTCGAATGTAACCACTACACTACCAGAGCTCCTTGGATAACATGGTGGAGGAATGTGTATTCCAGAACACTCAGTTGTGCTCATGAAGAACCTTAACACAGAGCAAGAGGCAGTCATTCAAACAGAACAAGGGACTCTGGATTCAGGAAAGGGGAGCACCAGGGGTGTATTCTTTTACCATATTTACTCAATAATCTGAGATGCTAGATTATATTAATAATGTTAAGAAATCATTTACAACCTGTAATTTGCAGATGATACAACCTTGCTTGCTCAAAGAGAAGGAGATGACTTAAAACACACAACAGTCTTTGGTATGGGCTGCATTGCATGTAGAGAAAACAAAAACCCTAACAATTGGACCAGTAAATAGCATCATGATAAATGGGGGAAAGATTGTATCTGTCAAGTACCATGGACTGTCAGACGAACAAGCACATCTATGTTGGAAGAAGCACAATCGAATGCTCCTTAGAAGCTAGGATGGCAAGACTTCATTTCTCATACTATGAACATATTATCAGGAGGGATCAGTTCCTGGAGAAGGACATCATGCTTGGTAAAACTGAAGATCAAAAAAGAGGAAGACCCCAAAACAGATGGAGTGGCACAGTGGTAGTAGCAATGGGCTCAAGCGCAATGACAATTATGAGGATGGAGCAGGACTGGGCAGTGTTTCAGTTTGTTATGCACAGGGTCACTATGAGTTGGAACTGATTAGATGCCACCTAACAATAACAATAAGAATCACTCATTTAAAAGAGGCAATAGCATCTTTTTATATTTTCCAATGGAGTGAAGCGGTCATATTTTTGACAATGTTAGTTATCTAATACTACCACTTGTTTGTTGGTTTCTTGTACTGTGGTGGCTTACATGTTTCTATGAAGCTGGAAGCTATGTCACCTGTATTTTGAATAGTGGACAGGTTATCAGCTGAGCATATGGACTGAAAACAGACTAGTTAGAAAGAGAGGAAAACTACTTCTGAATGTTTAGTCACTGAAAACTTTAGAAATAGCAGTGGAACATTGTTAGACAGCATGCTGGAAGAAGAGCCACTCGGGTTAGAAGGCACTCAAAGTATGAATGGGAAAAGTTGCTTCCTCAAAGAAGAGTTGATCATGATGATGAGAAGAAATAAAGCTACTATCACCTTCATTTGCTGATGGAGCACAACCCAAAAGAGGGGAAACAGTTGGAAAAATCCATAAAAAATCAAAACATAGAATGTACAAAGTATAAATCTAGGAAAATTGGAAGTCATAAAAAATGAAACAGCATAAAGATTGATATCCTAGACATTAGAGAGCTACGATGGATTGGTATTGGCCCTTTTAAACCAGATAATCCTATAGTTTACTATGCTGGAAAGATAAATTGAAGCAGAATGGAATCACATTAACTATTAAAAACAACATTTCAAGATCTATCTTGAAGTACAGTGCTGTCTGTGATAGGATAATAGCCATTCATCTACAAGGAAGGTCAGCTAATACCATTTATAATTCAAATTTACATACCAACCACTAAAGCCAGTGATGATGAAACAGAAGAATTCTACCAATTCTTCAGTCTTAAACTGATCAAACGTGAAATAAAGATACACTGATAATTACTGGTGATTGGACTGTGAAGGTTGAATATTTACAGGAAGGATCAGTAGTTTGAAAATATGGCTTTGTTGATAAATAATGCTGGAGATTGTTAAGATAGAATTTTGCAAGACAAACGACATATTCTTTGCAAATAATTTTTTGAAACAACACAAAAAACAGCAATACACATGGACCTCATCAGATGGAATACAGATGAATCAAACTGAATACATCTGTGGGAAGAGATGGTGGAAAAGATCAATACTGTCAGCCAAAACAAGGTCAGCCACCGAATGGGGAACAGACCATCAATTGCTCATATGCTAACTCATGCTGAAGGTGAAGAAAATTAAAACAAGCCCACAAGAGCCAATATATGACCTTGGATATACCCCACCTGAATCTAGAGACTATGTCAAAAGCAGATTTGATGCATTAGACTCTAATGACCGAAGACCAGAAGAGTTGTGGTATGACATAAACAACACCATACAGGAAGAAAGCAAAAGGGCATTCAAAAGCTAGGGAAGAAAGAAAATACCAAAATGAGTGTCTGAAGACTCTGAAACTTGCTCTCCAGCATAGAGCAGCTAAAGTGAATTTAAGAAATTAGTAAAAGAGACAAACAAAATTTTTCAAAGGGCATCTAGAGAAGACAAAGTAAAATATTGTATAATAGAAAACCAAAATGGAAGAATACACTCAGCATTTCTCAAATGGAAAAAACTGAAGAAAAAATTCAAACTTCTACTTGAAATAATGGCATAGGCAATAGAATAAGCAGAGGACATGAGAGATTGTGGCTTACTTACAACAATATTTAACAAACTACTACTGGATTGTTATACCTCCTGTTGTAGGGCATTTAATACACAGACACTACTTTGACTGCTGATTTGTAAGGCAGAATCCATATTCTACTGAAATGGTGGTGGTTGTTAAGTGTCTTCGAGTCAGTTTGACTCATAGCAACTCTGTATAGGGTTTCTGAGGCTATAAGTCTTGGCAGGTGCAGAGAGCTTCATCTTTCTCTTGCGGAGCAGCTGGTGGGCTTGCATTGCTGACCTTGTGGTTCACAGTCTAACAGTTTTCTTCTAACGTACACAGTGCTCTTTACAATAAACTTCCAGAGAAGCTACATTCATCTGAATAGGTGAGAAATAGCCTAGTAAGGAGAGGTGGCTTTAACCTGTGGTCCATGTTGGGCTTCAGAAGTGAATCTCCTGAAGAGGAATACAAAATGCAGGTTTCTGTTAAGTGCTGTCAAGTTGGTTCCAACTCACTGAGATCCTGTATAGGGTTTCCATGGTGTGGCTGCTAAATTTGAACCTCTGACCTTGCAGTCTAGTACTTATTCTACAGTGTCATACCAAGACTTCGCAAAATGCAGGTACTACTATTTCTTCTTTTCCTTGGATCCCGGAAAAATCCCAGAATAAACTTAAATTTTTTTTCTTTTTGCTGGCTAAACACAGCACTGACTTTTTCAATTGCATTTACATTAAAACCCCCAAAACTTGATGTTGAATGAATTCTGATTCATGGAAACCCCATAAATCAGAGAGCAGTAGTGCTTTAAATGGTTTCCTTAAGTGTTGTATTTACAGAAGTAGACTGACGGGATTTCTTCTATGATGCCTATGACTTGGGTTAGTTGTTGTTGTTAAGTGCCATCAAGTTGGTTCCTACCCATAGCGACTGTGTATAGGGTTTCTGTAGAGTAGCTGGTGAGCTTGAACCACCAACCTTGCAGTTCAAACCTACTTTGCAGTCCAGTACATTAACCCACAGTGCCACACCAGGACTTCAACTTTGGTTAATAGTCTAGCACAATTTGCACCAGCAAGGGACTCTGCATTTACCATACAAAGATATTAAAACATATGGCTAATTACATTTCTTAGTGTATATTTCTCCTCAACAAAAGAAAGTGGTGCTACACACGATTCTCCAATCTTCCTTCATAAGCAATTAACTAAAAATTTGCCATCAGGTATGTGAGATTTCTTATCATAATACTGACTTTCACATTACTTAGTATGTGTGGGAGGAAAATGCTTGTACTCAGCTAATGCTATATCATTATAATAGCTTATGTTATATCATTATAATTAATGTACAATATATTAAATTCAAACTGAAGTGATAAAGCAAAAGTCAAAAAATACCTTCTTTTATATCTTTTGCATTTGAATCAAAAAAGGAAAATGTAAATCCAGCTGGTTCCTCATCCTCATTCTTCAGAGATATAGGATCATTAACGTCTTCTGTTTTATAATCCTCATTCCAGGATATGTTTTCTTCCTTTTCACTGGTATATTTTGTAGTTTGGAGTCTTTCTTTCAAATCCGAAGCAATGTCATAATACATTTCTTTTGACACCTCAGGCAGCTTCTCACCTTCTGTCCTGTTTTTCTTTCTCTTTGTTTTACTGCTATGACAGAGAGATATATAAATTTCAAAGAAACAGTCACTTTTGGGAAAGCTCTCAGACATCAAAAGATAATACCTAGAACAACTTAATTTCATTCATTCAAAAATCAATAGGATCCACATAACAAACTCAATTGGAAAAGCATAATCTTTATCCAATGAGCTTTTTTAGACAAAATCATTTCAAATAGCTTTAAATATTAAACATGTATCATAGTCTATATCATTTTCTAATCTGTAGTTCAAAATTGACACCTAAAATATTAACTTAGAGTAAGAAAATAACTTAAAATCAAGGGGTCTCAGTTTTTAAATCTGCAAATGGAACATACTAAGCCAGTTAACTCTTAAGATCACTTCAAATTCTAAAATTATGTATATTGTATGAAAGTGGCATAAAAGGATTTGGTTATAACTTAGTTTTAGAAATGAAGTATAAATGTTCTAGTCTGTTATGAAATGGAGTATTTATTTTACTATAAATCTGCTCTATATTTAATATGCTTTTCTCTTTGAGCTGAAACATCAAATGGCTATTTAAAAAATGAGTTTTTAGGTAATGAAATTTTACCTTTTTCCTATGAGTCCATGCCATATAATATGAGGTCAAAGGTTCTTAAAAATGAAGCCATCTCACAGAAACTTTTACTATTTCACTAAGTAAAACAAAGTGGCTAGGCCGTTAACATGAATTTGAAAGAAAAAAAAATTATGTGCACAATTTCAGGAATTATTACTGAACCTGAAAATGGTGGTTTAAAAATTGGTAAGAAAATTCTTTGATACTCCTTACTTCCAGTTGTTGTTGTTAAGTGCTGTCGAGCTGATTCCGACCTATAGCGACCCTGTACAGGGTTTCCAAGGAGCAGTTGGTGAGCTTGAATCACTGACCTTGCAGTTTAAACGACTTTGCAGTCTGACATATTAGCCCACAGCACCACACAGTGGTAGAGGTTAATTCCCTTATTCATTGAGTATGAGTTGGACTTAGTGACCTCTTTCATTAAATAGGATAGATAATGATGGTATGTGAGTTCTTGACTAGGATAACAGAATACACTGTTGTTGTTTTTTAAACTTCTTTATTACCCCCACAGTTTGGCTCACTTGCTTTAGGAGAAACCAGCTATCATAGGAGACCAGTGAAACACTGAGACTCTGATACCAGCCATGTGAGTGAATCATCTTGAAAGAGATTTCTACCATCGTCAACCTTCAGACAGCAGCATCATGTGATACCTTGACTGAAACTCTTGAGAGAGTTTGAGCCAGAACTATCCAGAGAATAAGCTGCAACCAAATTTCTGACACAAAGAAACTTCAACCCAATAAATGTTTGAAGTTGGTAACGTTTGGGGCAATTATTTACATAATGATCAGTAATATAGATTTCATACCTGGAAGTGGGGTGCTGCTGCACCCAAAACTCAACAGGAAGGAGTAGCTTGACATTTGGAACATGGACAATGATGGTAGATGTTGGACAGTCATTGATGAGGGTGTTAGTGAAAGCCTGAAGTGCCCTGAGGAAACTGTTAGTAAGAGTCACATAGCCTTTGATGAGGCTACAGATTAAGGGCTTGAAAAACGGGGTAAACGCAATTGGAAATTAGATTGTTATGTAGTAGCACAAAGTTTAACACCCCATACTAATGTGGAGAGCACATTTCCTAGCTAAGGAAATTTCCAAGAAAATGCCATTTATAAAATATGATGATAGGACAGAAGTAAACTAAAGAAAGAATTTTTAGTTGGCTTTTTTTTAAAAAAAAAGTCAAGACTTACAGGTTTTGAAGATTTCTCATCTTTAGGATGGAGTCCTAGTGTGCTGCTATAAGATCAGCACTAGACTTCTAACCACAAGCTGTTCAAACCCACCAGCTGCTCCTTGTAAACTCTTTACAGTGTTGATATGAATCAAAACAGACTTGATGGCACTTAAAAACAATCTTTAGAAAGCAAGCCATGAAATTAAGAAAAGGCTTCTAAGAAAAGACCAAATCTAAGACAATCTCTGGAAAACATGTTGTTGGTAGGTGCCACTGAGTTGTTTCTGACTCATAGCGATGAGAACAAAACACTACCTGGTCCTACACAAGCCTCACAATTGTTGTCATGTTTGAGCCTACTATTGCAGGTACTGTGTCAGTCTAGCTCATTGGGGGTCTTCCTCTCTTTTGCAGAGAACCTCTACTTTGTCAAACACGATGTTTTTTCTAGGAACTAATCTCTTCTGATAAGGAGCTCTGGTACCATAGTGGTTACAAATTGGGCTGAGATCCTAAAGATCAGCAGTTTGAAACTACCAGCTGTTCCGTGGGAGAAAGATGAGGCTTTCTGATCAGCAGTTTGAAACTACCAGCTGTTGTGTGGGAGAAAGATGAGGCTTTCTGCTCCAGTAAAGATTTACAGCCTTGGAAACCCTGTACAGGGTTGCTATAAATCGGAACTGACTCCACAGCACACAATAACAACAACGAAGTATTCATGAGGAGCTCTGGTAGCATAGTGGTTATGAGTTGGGCTGCTAAGTTCATAGTCAGCAGTTAGAAATTACCAGTGGTTCTACAGGAGAGAGATAAGGCTTTCTGCTCCCATAAAGATTTACAGCCTCAGAAACCCTGTATGGTGTTGCTATGAGTTGGAACCGACTCCATGGCACATGACAACAACAAGTCTCTTCTGATAACATGTCTGCCAAGTCTTGCCATGCTTGCTTCCAAGAAACGTACTGGCTCCAGTTCTTCCATGACAGATTTGTTCTTTTGGCAGTACATGGTACTTTCAATATTCTTCACCAAAATTTAAATGTAATACAATTCGTATGCATGTTGAAAACAGGCTAAAGCAAACTGGCTACGGGCCAAATCTAGCCTACCATGTATTACTTGCAAGTTAAAAACACTCTTTGTTTTTAAATGGTTGAGTGAAAGACAGTCTGTAGACACTGTTCTAAGATAAAACAGAATACTCTAAAAACCTAGATGGGAACTAAGTAACTTTAATTTTTCACATAACAGGGCTTTAAAGGATCATATACATATTTTCCCTTAGCAGTCTCAGCAGAATTTCCAAGTAAACAAGAATTCATCTTAAAATACTTACTGATGAAGATCAAAGACCAGAGCCTTTGGTATGGATTGAATCTCAATGTAAAGAAAACAAAAATCCTCACCACTGGACCAATAAACAACATTTTGATCAACGGAGAAAAGATTGAAGTTGTCAAAGACTTCATTCTTCTTAGATTGACTATCAACACCCACAGAAGCAGCAGTCAAGAAATCAAACAACATATGGCATTAGGCAAATCTGCCGCACAAGACCTTTTTAAAGTGTTGAAGAGCAAAGATGTCAACTTGAAGACTAAGGTGTGCGTGACCCAAGCCATGGTATTTTCAATAACCTAAAATGCATGCGAAAGCTGGATAGTGAATAAGGAAGACAGCAGAAGTGATGCTTTTGAGTTATGGTGTTGGAAGAAGTACAGCCAGAGTGCTCCTTGGAGGCCAGGATGGCCAAACTTTGTCTCTCGTACTTCAACATATTGTCAGGAGGGACCAATCGCTGGAGAAAGATACCATGTTTGGTAAGGTGGAGACAAAGAAGAAACAAAGAGGAAGACTGCCAGTGAGATGGATTGGCAAAGTGGCAGCACTAATGGGCTTAAGCGTGGTAACGTCCAGTACCAGGCAGTGTTTTGTTCTGTTGTGCACAGGGTTCCTATGAGTCAGTACTGACTAGATGGCACCTAACAACAACATCATCTTAAAATGATCCTTGGATGTGGCCTGTATCTAATGGAGTGTGTTGTTGTTGTTAAGTATCATCGAGTAGGTTATGACCCTGAACAGGGTTTCTGAGGCTGTAAATCTTTACGGGAGCAGAAAGTCTCATCTTTCTTCCATGGAGCAGCTGGTAGTTTTGAACTGCTGACCTTGAGGTTCGCAGCCTGATTCATAACCACTACGGTACCAGAGCTCCTTAATGGAGCTTAATGGAGTATACTCCCAGAAAAATCTTAAGAGACCCACAAAGGTTTAAAGAGAATTGTATTAGCAGAAAATTGCCAGCCTGCAGTTTGAATAGTGAGACAGACACAGTACAAAATGAAATAAGGCTTTTGGACCCATAAACTTCTATAAGCAAAAAGAAGAAAAACTACTCACCTGCAAATCTGCATTTATTGGTAAACTGTCGAGTCAGTTCCGACTCATAGTGAACCTGTATATGCTGTGTGGCAGCAGAAAGTTCCATCTTTCTACCATGGAGTAGCTCGTGGCTCTAAACACTGACCTTGTGGTTAGCAGTCCAGTGATTATCCTACAGAGCCACCACGCTCCCAGCAAACCTGTGTTACCATTCATTAATGGTACCATTCAGAATTATTCTAAGATCCTCAGTCATAATCAAAGAATGTCCAAACATTTGCCTTTCTGGATTTCAGAGCAACTATGGAAAAATGCCTCTTCTATAACTCTTGTTTTCACCTTGGTGAACAGTAATTATCTTATGTCTGTCCCATAATTTTTGTTGGAGGAGGGGCAGATAACTCTCTAGTTTACAGTTCTTCTGATAAAAAACAACAACAAAACTATATCCAAAGAACTGCAATTGATATGCTTTATCTGCAGCTAGATCTGAAGACATCTTGGATTTTGAGCTGATGATATAAAGGGATGAAACTTTTGGGCATACTCTACATATGGCATTTGTTGTTGTTAAGTGCCATTGAGTTGGTTCTGACTCAGTTGTTGTAGTCGTAGTTAGGTGCCATCGAGTCGGTACCGACTCATAGTGACCTTATGCAAGCAGAACGAAACACTGCCCGATCCTGGGTCAACCTCACTATTGTTGCCATGCTTGAGTCCATCGATGCTGCCACTTGGCCAATCCATCTCGTTGGGGGTCTTCCTCTTTTTCTCTGACCCTCCACCTTACCAAACATAATATCCTTCTCCAGTGGTTGGTCCCTCCTGACAATATGTCCGAAGTATGAGAGAAGAAGTTTGGCCATCCTGGCCTCCAAGGACCATTCTGGCTATACTTCTTGCAACATGGAGCTGTTGGTTGTTTTAGCAGCCCATGGCACTTTCAATATTCTCCAACACCACCATTCAAAAGCATCAATTTTTCTATGGTCTTCCTTATTTACTGTCCAGCTTTCACATGCATATGAGGTTATTGAAAATACCACGGCTTGATTTGGGTCAGGTACACCTTAGTCTTCAAGCTGACATCTTTGCTCTTCAACACTTTAAAAAGGTCTTGTGCAGCAGATTTGCCTAATGCCATATGTTGTTTGATTTCTTGACTGCTGCTTCCGTGGGTGGTCCTTTCAGCACCTTGAGAAAATCACCTTGTTGTTTTAACCAGAAAGTTTTTGGTACGAGAGCATATATACAATGTTCTTCACCAAGACAGTAATTCTTAAACTTTTCGCCTGGCAGGTCTAACTTAAAAACAATGGGGACTTACTGACAGTATAGTCGTTACAACTTACTTTTCTCATTGTCTAATATTATATTAGTTAATATGCTATCATTACAAAAAATTACTAAAAGAAGTAGTTTGAAATTTACCTTTCTTTTGGCTTATCATCTCTTTTTCTTTCAAAAGTAGAATGGTCATGCCTTGCTGGATCATAATGTATGATGTCCCTATGATAAAAAAAAAGCAAACTGATGAAGTTGGAAGAGATAAATTAAAACATAAATGTGAACTTTCAATTGCAAAGTATAACTTAACACTAGGAAAAATCTAATTTTGAGACAAGTGTCAATGACTATATATCGAAAGAGTATAAAAAATATAAGAAACACAATTATTCATATTACTTGCTTTGAGTTCTCTTGGATCTTTTTAAACTTTATAAATGATTTCAAATAGTCCTGGTGTGGTGCTGTGGGATAAAGCACTTGACCACAAGGTTGGAAGTTCAAACTCACCAGCTGTTCCTTGGAAACCCTACTTATGGTACTTAACAACTGAGATTTACACATAATATTTTGGTTGGGAGGAAGGCTGAAGTGGGTAAGTATACAGATGAGGAAACTGGCCATGTATTGATAACTGTACAAGCTGGGTGATGGTGTGCATGATCTCATTACGCTAGTCTCTAAATTAACAAGGGCAAATCAAAAAGTATTTGTTACTAGGATTCCAGTTCACACATGCATGAGTGTATTCCAAACAAAACATGTTTATAAACATGTCTCTCTCATCACTGGATGGCTATACACAAGTTCTCTGTGTAATATGAAGGAACTTGATAACATTTATGAAAAAAAAAAAATGGTATTAAAAGATAAAAAATAAAAAACACAAACTTTATTTCTCAACATTGTTGTTAGGTGGCATCGAGTCAGTGCAGAATCATAAAGACCCTATATAAGGTTTCTAAGGAAACTTGGTGGGTTTGAATCACATTACTTTGTAGTTAAACCTACAGTGCTTAACTTACAACCCCCTACCAGGAGTCCTGCACTCTTATCAACATAAGATACCAGCTAGTTTACTTAAAGAACTGGAGGGTTCTGGGAATTTAATCCTGTCAATGCAGTCTGTTTTACATTAATCAGTGAAGAAAAATGGTGCTCATTTAAGATTTTTTTTTTTTAATTACAAAGCAAAAAGAAGTCAGAAGGAACCAAATCAGGACTGTAAGGTGGTTACCTAATTATTACTCCTACAAACACTCATCTTGTTTTATGAGAAGAATGAGCAGGAACACTGCATAGTGGAGGCAGGCTCTCTGGGGACGCTCTCCCGGTGATTTATTTTCCTGGATGATTTTTTGTTCTCAAACATTTTCTTTTTATTGTGAATTGAGTGAAGGTCATAGAAAAGATCATGAGCTTTACATTCTCAAACTTTGTTTCATCTCAGTCATTACAACCTTGCCATGCAACAACAGTATCCTTTCTCCCTGAGTTTCCTATTTACATTCCGCCCACCTTCCTAACCTTTCTTAACTTTGTTCTTAGGCATATGTTGTTCTTTTGATTTTGAGTGATTGACCATCCCATGGTGAGCATACCTTACTAGTGTTTTGTTTTCCCCTATATACCTAGCTACTGCTTGGCTGAAAGGTGGGCCATGAGGGTGGGCCCCTTTCCATACCTGAAGAGTGTTGAGGGCCACAGTTTCAGGTTCCTACTCTTTTTGTGACCTGTAAACACGGTTTTACTCTCATTATTTCATTGCAATGATTATAATCTCTTCTGTGCATCATTCAACAGTATTTGCTTCTATTCCCTCTGGCTTTTTTTTTTAGGGGGGGGGGATGTACACAAAAACACTCAGGAATATATAATAATTTAAACCACCAAAGCATACATTCTGCAAGACTGCCACCTAGCTGCCTTTCTCTTTCCATGTAGAGTCCTGCTGTATGTCTCCATGTTATCATCTCTGCCTCCATCGCTAGTGTTGCTGTTTCTCTGTTTAGGGTCCCACATTCTACTCGTGCTCTTTTCCCTTGATGGTCCTAGGGTCCTCTGTTCCTGGACTGTAAGATTAACTATTCCCCATTTTGTTACAAAACTACCTTTACAGTTGTGACAGTCACAGTGAGTCATGATAACAATTAGTCACTATTGAGTCATAAGAATCTTTTCCCCATCTCCTTTTACCAGACCCAGCTAGTCAATATGAGAACTATTCAGTGGTGATTCTGCCTTCCCCAGCACACTCTGAAACTAAACTCCCTCTTGAAAACTTCTAAGTCCGTCATTTTGTGCCTTTATTACCCATTATTTTAGGTAGCCAGTATCTAAGTTGTCCGTCCCTATCAACCCTGTATACACAGAAAACAAGATTGATACCTGATGTGAAGACTCCGTCTCTCTTAGTTGGTTATTTTTAGATACTACATCCCTCAAGTATAGGTCAAGTTCCTCAAATTGTAGCAATTTATACTTGTTTCATTAAAAAAAAAAAAGATTTTTTAAAACATCTTCTATCAAAGCTAGGTTGAATGGGTATGATCTACAAGTTTGGGCATTCTTGTGCATCTCCACTCCCTTCATTATCAGCTGGGTGCTTTGCTCTCAGCTCTAGTCTTCTGTGGTTATATCCTTGTCCATGGGCTCAGGAGTCCCCAGGTCTCACCACGCTTCAGACCAACCAGCCCTTCCTCTTTCTCTCTCATCTCCAGGTCGGTGGGAGTCTATGTAATGTGGTCAAACTCAGCCCACATCTTCAATGCTGCTTTTCCCCTTTTCCACTCACCAGTAGACCAACGTGGTCACCAGCAAGCTAACGTGACTGCTCATGTGTTCCCTTTGAGTTTCAGTCTTGGAGGGTGGCGGTTTGTCCTAAAGGGACTTGATTGCTTGACTTGATGGCACCCCGGTGAACAACCTGCTTGTTCTTGTGGTAGTCAATCAGACTGCTGTTTTTATTTTTCCTGCTGGGCTTTCTTTCAAGTATCTTCTGTCACAGAAACAATCACTTCCCTTCAGGTCAAACACCACTCCAAGACTGAAACTCAAAGGGAACACACGAGCAGGTATGTAAGATTGCTGGTGACCATGTTGGTCTACTGGTGAGTGAAAGGGTGCAGGTGATCTGAGTGCAAGAGTTTGGGCACCTATTAAGCAGAAAGTTTGCTCAGATTTAATTTTTCCGTTAGAATTTTGTAAGCGGCACTAACTGAGATGTCTGTGCTGATTGTTTCTACTGTTAATTGTTGTCTTCTTCAACTAGGGCAACAAGATTGTCTTCTTACAAATTGATGTGGATGTTCTGTTGCTGTGGACATCATCGGGTCCTCCTTACAAGTTATCCATTTGTAAACTTCTGATTTCTCTGGGGCATAATCTCCATAAATTTACTGCAATGCATCAATGTTCTTCCCCTCAAGCTTCACCACCATAAATTTGATGTTTGTCTTTGCTTCAATTTTAGTAGCATTTATACTGCTCTGATGGGGACTCTTTTCAAATGGGTGCTTTATCTTTTTAAGTGACTCAAACTAGATCCTGTTCAGACATATAACAAGTTAGCAAGAGTTTACTTTGGTTTGAAAACCAGAAACCCATTCATAGTTCTTTCACAATATGCATTTTCCCAAGGACTTTTTGAAGATATCTTGTGTTTTCTTAGTTTCCTTGTAGTTGTTAAGTGCCACTGAGTCGGTTCCAACTCATAGCAACCCTGAATAGGAGCACCTGGTGGATTTGAACTACCAACTTTGTGGTTAACAGACTATTGCTTATCCTACAGGACCATACCAGGAGTCCTTGTTTCCTTAGGTGCCTTCAAAAAATAAACTTTTTGTGCCATCAAAAAAAAAAAATTTGATGTTAGAATACCAAACTTATAAAACTCAAGGGCACATCTTTTAAAATCAATGAGGCTTTGGAACAAGTCTATTGGAATGCTACCCTACATAAAAAAGTTCTGGATTGATCAAATGTATTAAGGAAGGTTGAGAAGATCTCAGAGGTGAGTCAAGAGAGAAGACTGTCAACTCTGACGAATGAAAAACTGTAGCTGAAGTCCAGAAACTGGAGGAAGACTGTAGAATTACTATTGACGCAATAGCAACTGAAGTTGGGATTTCACATGGTTTGGCATTTTCAATTTTAAGCAAACATCTTGGCCTCAGTAAGCTTACAGCTCAATGGGTGCCAAAAGTGTACAAAGATAAGCTAGCTCCAAGGGCTGATCTTTCCATCAATCTTTTAAAGATTGAAGCTAATGAAGACAATTTCATGGAGCAAATCGTAACCTGAGACAAGTATTACATATATCTATATGAATCAGAGAACAAGATCCAATCAAAACAGTGTCTTCTAAAGGGATAAATTCAAGGTTATGATGTTTGTTTTTCAGCATTCTGAAGGGGATAATCTTGATAGTATTTCTCAGACACAGAGGGATCACAGGAGCTTATTATAAATAAGATTGAAAACTGCACTGGTGAGCAAAAGACCAAGAAAGATGCACTAAGGAATTTTCCCCATCGTGACAATTTTTAGTTTATTCTTTGAAGGTAGCAAGGATTGTCTTATAATGCTTTGTGGGAAAATCTTGCTTTATTCCTGATCTTACCCTTTTCACACTTTTTTTGTTTCCCAAATTCAAAGAACACTAAAATTAACGTAATTTGGGTCCCTCAAGGATGCTAAAACTGCTGTTCTGAAACTGTTCAATTCCAAGAGGGCAGAATTCCAAGGAGAAGGGTTAAGAGTATTCAATGCCACTTTCAGAAGTGTTCAAACCAAGGAGGATATGTCAAGAAACAAAACAGCTTTATATTTTCAGACCTTGCTTATAGTTCTTTATTTGGGAAGACCACCCTCTTCAAAGAAGCATGCATCTTTGGGAGGGACACATGTAGAGTGATGAGGAAGGAAGAGTATACCCACCTAACCAGGCAGATCAGTCAAATCAACCCTAAGAGGGTTGCACCTAGATTGCCTGCATATCCTAGTTTCATATTTTTAATAAAGATTTCTATGATTTTGTAATCCACGCCTGTCAGCTTGTTGTAATATGGTGGCTTGTGTGTTGCTGTGATGCTGGGTTGTAAATACCAGCACAGTCATCCATAGTAGACATGTTTCAGTGGAGCTTCCAGACTAGGAAAATAGAATAAATGGTCCACTTCTGAGGGACTGTTGTTGCTGTTAAGTGCTGCAGAGTTGGTTCTGACTCATAGTGATCCTGCATAGGGTTTCCAAGGAGGGGTTGGTAGGTCTGAACCACCAATCTTGCGGTTAACAGTTCAGTGCTTATCCAACAGCACCACACCAGGACTCCCCTTAATACCTGTGAACAGCAATGGCACTGTCTGATATAGTGCTGGGAGATGAGTCCCCAGGTTAGAAGGCACTCAAACCACCGGCCTTGCAGTTCAAACGGCTCTGCAGTCTGGCACATTAACCCACAGCACCACACCAGGACTCCAAAACCCACTGATAATCAGAATGTGGAATATACAAAGTGTGAATCCAGGAAAACCAGAAGTTGTCAAAAATGAAGTGGAATGCATAAAAACCGATATACTAGGCATTATGAATTGAAATGGACCAGTATCGGCCATTTTGAATCAGACAATTATACTGCTTACTATCCTGGGAATGACAAATTGAAGAATGTGTCACATTCATCATCAAACGAACATTTCAAGATTTGTCTTGAAGTACTACCTGTGATAGAATAATATCCATAAGCCTACAGGGAAGACTGGATTCCTGGTATAGCGCTACAGGATCAGCACTGGACTTTGAATCACAAAGTCTGTGGTTCAAATTCATCAGCTGTTCCTCAGAAATCCTATACAGGGTTGCTGAGTCAGAACTGACTGTATGGCACTCAACAACTCAATAACAGGGAAGACCAGGTAATACCACCATTAGTCAAATTTATGTACCAACCACCAAAGCAATACTTTTTGACTTACTCTTCTAATGTTAGAACTTTTCCTTAGTAAAGTTTAAATAGTATAAGCACATTAAGAAAATAAACGTATCCTTAACTGTATTACATATCTTTTTCCTTGTGCCTAAAACTAAATTGATAATCTAAACTATGACACAAACAATAATCACTGTATATTTGCAGCATATTTATTACACTAGTTGATTGCTGTTGAATATTTATGCTGCTTTCCAATAGTTCCATTAGTGGAAGTAATTTATATTAACATTTAAATATGTAAACACAAATAATTTCTTTAGGATCTACTTCTTGAAGTGAATCACTGGAAATAAGGTAAAAATATTTTTCAATTTAACATGAACTAGTTTCGAACTGACTTCAAGAAGGTATTTATGGTAAAGGAAAATATGGTAAAATGAGATAAAACATAAACCATACTTAAATTTCTTAGCAGTTGTTGATCTTTTGCTTGTAGAATTGCTCAAACTGATGTTCAAAACACGTTGCATAATATCCAATGCTTTCTTCTTTTCTGCAACAAAGTCTTCTTCCTCAGTTGTTTCCTTTTCATTTATTTCTATCCAGGAAAGGATAATTAACAACTTAATGAAAGCATAACTTTACAAGTCTCAATCAATAAGTAATTATTAAGCACCAAGCAAATTGGCTGTGTAAGAATCCTTTAAAACGTGCAAGAGCAAAGATGTCAGTTTGGGGACTAAGATGTGCCTGACCCATGCCATGGTATTTTCAAAAGCTTTATAAGCATGTGAAAGCTGGATAATTACGAAGAAGACCATAAAAGAGTGGATGTATTTGAGTTATGGCGTTTAAGAAGAATATTAAATGTACTATGAACTGCTAAAAGAACAAAAAAATCTGTGCTGGAAGAAGTACAATCAGAATGCTCCTTAGAGGCCAGTTTGGCTAGACTGGGTCTCTCATACTTTGGACACATTATCAGGAAGGACTAGTCCCTGGAGAAGGACATCAAGACATCATGCATGGCAAAGTAGATAGATAGTGAGAAAGAGGACGATCCCCAATGAGATGGACTGGTATAGTGGCAGCAGCAATGGGCTCAAGTTTAACAGTTATGAGGACATTGTTTCGTTTTACTGTGCATAGAGTAGCTATGTGTCTGACTTGATGGCACCTAACAACAACAAGAAGCATCTACATGGTGTGCAAAGCCCACCAAAACAGGAAGAAAAAATTAACCCTCATTCTGATAACTTCCCTGTCTCTAAGACCCTCATGCCTCAGGAAGCCAGAAATCCCATGAACAGTAAACAACAAAAACATTTACAGTTATGTATGATAAATGAAATAATGGTCCTAATGCCTATAAGGGACAAGTCTAAAAAATTTTAAAGTAAATACTGGTAAACAAACAGCAAGATACTACCAATAAAACTAATCACTATTCTATTTTCTAACATTCTAAATAATGATAAAGATAGTGAAGATGGTGAGTTTATTGTGTGTTAATATGATGTTTTAGAAGACAGTGGCTTTAGCCTTTGAGTAATACTTATTTTAGGTAAAATCTTAGCTCTACACACACAGGACATCATGGAACTCTTTAACTTGCTGATTTCAACTACTAGAAACAGACAAATATCAGAAAAAAGTAAGACAAATTATTTTGGATTATAGATAGGTTTACAGAAGTCTAAGGCTTCAATACCCTTTCAATTTACTGCTAGATATAAATGACAGAACTAGAAAACAAGAACAAAAATATTGCTCTAACGTTCTCTGTAGATATGAAACCCAAAATTTTAAGGGTTCAAAGTATGTAGAGATTACAACTGAATTGGATCAAGAAATGATTTGTAAGTAAGTGAAGTCTGAGGTAGAAAAGGCAGTCTGCATGCTACATTAAGGAAACAAAATGATTATATTTTGAAGCCGGAAAATGAGCACAAAGAGTTTAGATTATGTGTTAGATTAAACCATAAGAAACTGCTGCTATGTGACAATTCCTTACTAAAAAAAAACCAGTATTTCATTTTTTAATCCAAGAATACCCATATAGAAGAGGACTGGAAAGGACTAAAAGTTAATGTGTATGTGTGTGTACCCTTACTTGCATGACAGTCTTTGCAATTCACAAAGAATTCACAGGGAAAGAAACCACAAAAGATGGAGGTTATATGCCTGACAACCCTAAAGGTGGAAATTTCTAATAACTGAGAGAAAAAGATCAGAAAGAGCTGCTTTAGGGAGAGTTTTAGGCTACATACGAATACAGGACAGTCTGTTTGAAGGGCCTAGTAGGTATGTAAGAGATTTGAGCTCAGAGAACAGTCAGGAGTAAAAAGGATTCAAAAATTGGGAAATATCACATAAAAATGCAGGCTAAAGCCACTGGGATGTCCCTGGAGAAGGACATCATGTTTAATAAAGTGGAGAGAAAATGAAAAAGAAGAAGACTTCCAATGAGATGTGACACGGGGTAATAACAATCAGCTGAAATATAACAATCGTGAGGCTAGCACAAAACTAGGCAGTGTTTCATTCTGTTGTACATAGGGTCACTATGAGTTGGAACTGACCCAATGGTACCTAACAACAATAAACCTTAGAAACATAATGTACAATAATAATTGCCTCAAAGAATAGTGAGGATCAAATTAGAGGTGGTATTAAATAAAATAGTTGTTGGCTCACAGGGAGCAATGGCCTCACGTGAGACACAGGTTAAGTAAGCACACAAGGGAAGAAGTACAAGGTTGTCAGGAGGATGCAGTACATGGGCCTGACCTAGTGTGTGTGGGAGTGGAAGTCAGAGAAGGCTTTCTGGAGTAAGCAGTGTTTGGTTTTCTCTTCTAAGGAGTCAGAGTCATCTGATTTAGATTATTACAGAAAAAGGAAACATTATAGGAAACTTGTTATCTTCAATCAGGAAATGTGGTGGTGGTGGTTGTGTGTGGGCGAGCTGGTTCTGATTCATAGCAACCCTATTATGTAAGGTTTACTGAAAGGAGCTCTGGCAGCGTAGTGGTTACGAGTCGGGCGCTAACCTCAAGATCAGCAGTTCGAAACTACCAGACGTCCCACAGGAGAAAGATAAAGCTTTCTGCTCCTGTAAATATTTACAGCCTTGGAGATTAAAAGAAAAAAATAAAGATTTACAGCCTCAGAAACCCTATGCAGGGTCACGATGAGTCGTATTCGACTCCATGGCACACAACCACCACCATTAAATAATTAAATAAAGTACACAATAAAATACAAGTTGTAAGACGAACTGAATTTGATGTAAGTTATTTTCTAAGTTTAGAAATAAATGGTTATGCAAAGCAGGAATGCAAACAGATACTTGTATACCAATGCTTGCTGAAATTTAGACACAATAGCCAAATGGTGCAAACAACCCAAATATCCATCAACATACGAAGGGGCCTATAAAATATGGTACATACATAATATGGATTATCAGTCATTATTTGTTAAGTGAAGGAGGTAAACTAGTTAATTTCAAAAGTTCTTACATCATGAATATTTCGACAATGCAGTATTTACCTTTCTGTTCCTCTTCACTGTCACTTTCTAGAAATCGAGAGTCCATGCGGAATCTGTCATCAGTGCCAAAGTGAGACTGCAAATTCATGAGCTACAGATTTAAAAAAAGGCAGACAATTGAGAGTCAGACTCTCCACAGTACACTTCCTTTGACCTTAAAATCCACTGCATTGGTAAGTTTCTAAAAAGTAACATAACCACAACACAATCAAAAAGGATCATAAAGAACTCACTCCCCAAATATGTGAAGACTGAAATTATGTCAAGGTCTGTCTGCTTACTTTGGTTCAGAAATAAAGTTAAGAGTGTTTGAGTAAAAAATTATCCAAACTTTGGTTATATTAAAACGCCTGTCCACATCCATGGCTGATGACAACATTGAGTGTGCACGTGAAATGATTCTGTGGAATAGACGACCGACAGTGGATTATGTGCCAAATTATTTGCATATCAACCATGACTCTGCCACGACAGACTTGGGTTTTGAAAAGTTTGTGTGAGATGAGTATCGAAACAACTCAGGGATGAGCATAAACAGAAGAATTTGGACAGCTGCAAACAAAATTTGGACTGATATTGAAGAAAGATAAGTTTGTTTAAAAAAATCATTACTCTCTCCATGGAGAGAGAGAGCAACTGAGGAGTCTAGACTCATCGAAAGAGAAAGACTGAGTGCTGGCAGTCAGAAGGCAGGCTTGCAGAATGTGCCCTTTGGTTGTTTAAATTATTATATATTCCTGAGTGTTTTTGTGTACATCCTCCCACCCTACCCCCCAAAAAACAACCAAAAAACCCCCTAGGGAATAGAAGCAAATACTGTTGAATGAGGATGAAACAACGGTGCCAAACTGATGTTCTCCCAAGGGAACTATCACTCAATTCATGATAAAAAAGTTCATTACTGGTGATGAGACTTGAATTCATCACTGTGAGTCTGACAGTAAACAGCAGAGTATGGAATGGAAACATTCTCAAATCGCTGACCAAGAAAAAGTCAAAAGTCAACCATCAGCTGGAAAATCGATGCTTACAGTTTTTAGGGATTCTCAAGTACCAGTATTGGAACACTATCAGGAAAATGGTTCAACAATCAATAGGGTTCATTACAGTGAGATGCTTACTGAAGAGCTGAAGCCTTAACTTTAGATTAAACGCAGAAGACTGCTAAGAGCTTGTGATCTTACATGGCAATGCACATCCCCACACCTCTGTCCACACTGTTGACACCCGGTCAAAATTTCATTTTGAGGTGTTAAAGCACCCTCCCTATAGTCCTGATCTTTCTCCATTGGACTTTCACTTATTTGGTTCCCTGAAAGCAGTCCTATAAGGACTATAAGGTTCACCTCTGATGAAGGAGTAAAGACAGTGGTGCATTTGTGGCTCATAGCTCAGTCCAAAACAGTTTTTTAATAAGGGAATATGAAAGCTTGTTGACAGATGGACAAAGTGTATTGAAAAGCAAGGAGACTATGTTGAAAAAACAAACTTGAATACAATAAATTCTATAGCCACAATGCAGATAATTTTTGATAACCTTGTGATAAGGAGGTGTTAGATATTCTATTATTTTCAGTCTTCACTAACCTTTTGCCCAGCTTTGCCCTCAAACTGAGGTTTGATTTTAAACCTGTTACTGTCATCTTCAGAATCAGATTCCTCATCACTGCTTTCAAACAGCTTCCCAGAGGGTTTACACCTGGACTCCTTTTATTTCGAAGAGAAAAACAGAAATATTTATTAATAACTGAATAATCAGGATTTGCTTCCATAGTTTAATTATTCCCCATGAATGATACATACAGTGGGTTAGAAAATAAACTTTTAACTCAATGATATTTAGCTGGCCCCCAAGATAATTTATCCAGGTTCCCCATTGCAATCTATATTTGAAGGATAATGGTGCTGGTGGCAAATTAATTTAACAGATGATGTGGAAAGTATAAGATCACGATGGAGAAGACTTCTAGGACACCTGTACTCTCAGTGTATGGGGTCCTGGAGAACCCTGGATCTCAGTGTAGTTCCTAGGAGAACTTTTTGTGAAGACTAGAAATTGTGTAGAGGTCTTGGGTATGTAACAGACAAAAGCAGACAAAGCCCATAGTGATATCCTAATTTCTTACCTTCACCATTTCATCTCCTGCATAGCTTTGTTCTTGAATGGATGATTCTTTGGTTTCACTTTCACTGTCGGAACCAAAAATGATGTGTTTTGGCTTAACCTCAGAATGATCATCCTAGGGAGGTCATAAAAAGGTGTGTATCTTAAAACAATCCAATCTCACACTTACGACATACAAAATTTATCTTTTAATTATACATTCCATCCTTTCCTTACCAGTGAATGTCACTGCTACATATTTAATTGCCCAAGACAGAAACTTCTAATTTCTCTTTTTCTCCATATTCAGTTGATACCCAAGTCCTATCAATTTGACTTTCTATGTACTCAGCCTTCTAATACAGATATCATAACACAGTTTCTATAAAGGGTTAGAGGGTAAATATTATAGACTTAACAGGCTATACATGAACTCTGTCCTGATTCTTCCTACATAGGGTTTCCGAAACTATGAATCTTTGTGGGAGCAGAAGTCTCATCTTTCATTACAACCCTTTAAAATTTAAAACCCAATCTTAGCTTGTAGGGCTAAAAAATGGTGGTGGGCTGAGTGGCACATAAGCTGTAGTTTGCATACTCTGGTCCCAAATACATAACTAATCTTGATTCAGGCGCTCTGGTGGCACAGCTGAAAACCGAAAAGATCGGAGGTTTGACCTCACCACTGCTCCTTGTAATAAAGATGTGACAGTTTACTTTGTAAAGGTTTGGTCTTGGAAACTCTATAGGGTTGCTATGAGTCAGAACTGGATCAATGGCTGCAGACATGTTTGGTTTTTAAATTTCATTCTCTTGCTTCAAATTCTTCATGGTCTTCACTGCCTCTAAGAATAAAGTCCAACCTCTGAGGCTTTTCATGACTCGCCCCTACTTTTCTCTCTAGTATCATTTCTTGATTCCTGGCATTCTATAATTGCTCCTTTAACCTGAAATGCCTTTCCTCTCCTTGACATGCTTCTCTCTGCCTAACTAGTTCCCACTTGTTCCTTCATGTTGACTTCTATCAGGCACTTCTACAGGGAACTTCCTTGCTGGCACTCCAGACTGACTTGATACATCTCTTACAGCTCCCTGGTACACAAGTACACTTCTCTCTTGGCCCTACAAAAGTGATTTGTGACTGTCTGCTCTTCACATCTTAAGCAAACAAGGCACGTATTACTCATTCTGTAAGTCTGGCATGTACTGTAAAGGTCTAGATAATTGTTGAAAGAAGGAATAATGATTTCCAATAATAACTCTAAGGAGTCCTGGTGGCCCTGTGCTGTATCACCAAAAGGCTGGTGGTTCAAACTCTCTAGCTGCTCAGTGGGAGAAAGATGAGACAGTCTGTTCCCATGAAGACTTACAGTCTCAGAAACCCTAAAGAGAAGTTCTACTTTCCTATACAATTGCTACAAGTCTGAATCAACTCTGTGGCAATAGATCTGGTTGTATAGCATATCTAACCACTGGTGTGGTGCTGAGGAATAAGCACTAGACTGCTAACCACAAGATCAGCAGTTTAACCCCACCAGCCACTCCTCGGAATCCCTATACAGGGTCATTATGAGTCAGAACTGACTTGATGGTACTTAACAACCACCATCACCAAGACTGGTACAGCAGTTAACATGCAAGCTTGTCCACCAAGGATTGGCAGTTCAAACCCACCAACAAAAAGATGTGGCAGTCTGCTTCTGTAAAGACTGTCAGACCTGGAAACCCTACTCTGTCCGATAAGGTTGCTATGAGTCAAGAATCAACTCAACGGCAGTGGGTTTGGTTTTGCTTATAATAAATGTTGGCAAGACTTCTATAGTCAATTTATTAAGTAAATTCAGACATATTAGGATGCCCACTTCATTACACGAGTTATAGCTTCTAAATGAAAGGTATTAAGAAAATTCTACATAAAAACAAATTACAATGTTATTAGTAAAATTTAATCTCAATTTCTTTGGAATATATTAAAGATTAGTTTATAGCAGGTATTATCAATGTTAAGTGCCACTGAATTGATTTCAACTTATAGTGACCCTGTATAGGTTTTCTGAGGAGCAGCTGGTGAGCTTCAACTGCAGACCTTACAGTTCAAACTGACCTTGCAGTCCAGCACATTAACTTGAAGGGCCACACCAGGATTCCAAATAGCAGGTATATGGTGATGTTGTTGTTGTTAGATGCCATCGTGTCGGTACCAACTCATAGCAACCTTAAGCACAGCAGAAAGAAACACTGCCCAATCCTGGGTCAACCTCACTACTGTTGCCATGCTTGAGTCCATCGGTGCTGCCACTTGGCCAATCTATCTCGTTGGGGATCTTCCTCTTTTTCTCTGACCCTCCACCTTACCAAACATGATATCCTTATCCAGCGACTGGTCCCTCCTGACAAAAGGTTGTAATTCAAGGGCAGAACACGTAAAATTGTTGACTGTTTAAGATAATTAACTTTAAGGTCTTAAAAGAAAGAAAAAGCTTAACAGAGAGTTCTTATTAAACAATGTTTAAAATGTACTCACCAAATTGGCCAGGGCATTATGAACCAGCTTCTTTTGTATTTCTTTTGCTTTCTGCCTTGCATCTAAGGCTGCCAAACGCTTCCGATTATCTTGAGCATGTTTATCTTCAGGAACATCTGATGAATTACTAATAGAATGTGGGAAATCACTTCTGGTTTCTTGAGTTTTCTTATGGAACACATTGCTAAGTCTGTCTCTCTCAGATTTCTTTGGTGATTTCTTAGAAGATGTAAGACTATGTGTATCAGTTGTCTCCTCCTCTGAACCATCTTCTTTCTGTGGGGTACTAAGGCAACCATCTTTATCAAAACTTATCTTGTGAATCTTTATACCACAACTTAAGGACTTCTTACCTTTTAATGGCAACAGACTAGTAGTACTTTTACTTCCCTTTTCTGAATGGCTTGGGGACACCAACTTGTGATCCAGGGTCTCAAAAATGGCCTGTCCGTTTCGAGGCTCAGAACAGTTCAGGCTATTTGCCTTCTCTGTATGTTGGCATGGTGTTAATTCTCTCGATGAGTCACCAGAATCCAAGTACCTCCTTTCCATGGAAAAGCTACTGGAATCCTCAGGTTTCAAGGAATTCTGATCTTCATTAATACTGTTAGAAACAACACCCTCTTTCAATGATATTTTCCTGGATTCCTTTCCATAGAGAGAGCTTATCCCCTTGAAAGCCTGGAATTTGTTTTCCTTTGGTTTCTGTTTATTACAGATCTTTTTCCCTTTTAAAAGAGAAGCCACAATCTCCTCAGGATGAACGCACTGTCTGCCTATACGGGGATTGTCAGGAATCTTGTGGATCTTGGAGGCCTGGTCAAACTGGCAACAGGTGGTGGTTTCTTGGCTGTCACTCTCAGTAATTTCTTTTAAAGTCTCTGCATCACTACAACACAACTTTTCCAGATCAGCTAAAGTAAGACTCACACGGACAGAGTTTTTCATCATGGCCCTATACTCCTTGTCTTTTTCAGACTCAGCTGATTCTGTTGCAGAATCAGAATCTTCACTGTTACCTAATTCAGATGTAAATTTACAGTTAAGAAGCTTAACCCCATTACTGTCTGCTAACTTCACTTTTTTCCCCTTCTTCTGTATTTTAATAGAATCATCAGAAAACTCAAAGCCTTTTCTGTCTTTCAGACATACCGATTCTTTTGTATTTAAAAATTCTGTACTGTTTTTTACCTTACCAATGGTTGTTTTCATTGCAATGATTTCATCTGTATCTCCTGAATCATAGTCACAATCATTTCCTACAACATTATCTTTACTAACCTGACAAGAGACACTATTTTTGATACCTGAACTTGTTAAAAAATAAAGCTTCTGGACATCTGATTTGAAGTCCTCCCTTACCACTACAAAGTTATCATTGTCAGGTTCTTTTACTGAGGACTGGGTAGTTGTCTGGAAACTTTCCTCTCTTGCAATCATTGCTCTTAATTCTTCTTCAGAACTGATATCATCATCAGACATGCTATTTGTGTTTCTGGCACTTTTCAAGCCACAAGTCTGAAAAGGGCCATCTTTACATCTCTGATGATCAGATTTAGGCACACAGGGTGACTTAGACAGGCAGATGGAATTACAAGGGGTGCTTTGTGCAGCCTGTTGATGCAGTAAGTATGGACTGTCCATTACTAAACTGTGTCTTGGGCAAACAGTCAGAGGTCCAGTGACACCATCACTATATTGCTTTTTTATAGACTTCTTGGGAGGGTTGTGAAAGTCAGTGAACTCTCGTTGTTTCTTACTCATAGGTTCATCCCCTCCTTCCAAGTGCCATGTAAGGTTGGCTATAGGGATGGTATTTGTGGAATTTTCCTCTATCTTCTTCAGGTTGTGACAGTATTTTGATGGATCATATTTGATGATGTTATTGAAAGTGAAGGAATAAAACAAAACTACTAGGTTTTAGGAGAATCTATCAATCTCGTGAAAAAAAGGAAATACTGTTTAATTTTGGGCAAACTTGGACCCTTAGGTCTAATCAAATATACTGAGGACTGCACTAGATGATCTTTCAGGGTCTTTGGAATTTTTTTTTCAGTCTAATTTCCACCTGTTTAGAGTTAAAACCAAGGAGCTCTGGTAGTGTAGTGCATTATGAGCTGGGCTGATAACCGCAAGGTTAGCAGTTCAAATCAACCAGCTGCTCCATGGGAGAAAGATGAGGCTCTCTGCTCCCATAAAGATTTATAGCTTTGGAAACATACAGAGGGGTGAGGAACATCTGGCCCATGGACCACATAAAGTCTGCAAAATAATTTGGTCTGGCCCTGCCAAGGCAACCAGTTTCAGCCTTCACATTAAGGGTGAGTTAATTAAATCTTTGACTAAATACTGCTGTTTGTTGTTGTTAAGTGCCATCGAGTCAGTTCCAAATGTAGTAGGCTAATTTTAAAGTTGGTAATTGTGTATGGCCCGCAAATGATGTTATAAATTTTGGCAGAAAAAAGGTTCCCCACCCCTGCTACACACGGTTGTTATGAGTCAGAACCAAAAGGCACATAACCACCACCATCAGAGTTAAAACCAAGCACTACCATTATTAGTTGGCAGAGGGACTTATGTACATTTTATAGCACATCCATTCAGATTATATACTAGGTAAATGAAAGAAATTCATCTACTGAATTGACACTGTGAAGCAATGTATAGAGGGGAACACAGAATGACAAAGTTATACAACGCTTATCTTTTCTGCTCAAATTTCTTCTCTTCTCAACATTAACTCATCCTTGTTGTTGTTGTTAAGTACTGTGGAGTCAGTTCCAACTCACATTCACCCTGTACAGGGTTTCCAAGGCTATACATATCTATGGGAGCAGAAAGCCTCACCACTCTCCCGAGGAACAGCTAATAGTTTTGAACTGCCGATCTTGAGGTTAGCAGCCCAATTCGTAACCACTATGCTACTTTAACTTATTCCTAGCTCTCCTGATTTTCCTAGTTCACATTAGTCCATTTCACTTCTACTCAATCACTGCAAGGCACTTTGTAGATCTCAATAAAATGAATATACATTTCTACCTGGTTTGCTACTAACTTTCAAAGACACTAGTTAATGTCAATGTGTGGTGATATCTAGCACTTGCTTATTTCCTAAAATCCATGAATGTAAAAAGTATAAGCTGTCATAAGCTCTCACTCTTGAAAAATACCTTTGCTTACTTAGTAACTATTTGTTGTTAGGTACCCTTGAGTAAATTTGCACTTCATAGCAACCCCATGTGATAGAGTGTTAACTCTCTTATAGGGTTCTTCTATGCTGTAATAGGTCTTTCTCCAACAGAGGCACTGGGTGGATTTGAACTGCTAACTTTTGAGGTTAATAGCTGAGCATTTGAACTGCTAACTTTTGAGGTTAATAGCTGAGCACTCTGCCATGAACTTTTTGAAGTGCCCTCCCTCATAGTATCTATTGTCCTCAGCTCCAATATCCTCCTCCTGGTTGTTAGTGGCTGCCACTGGCAGTAAGAGCTGAAACAGCAGCCCACTTGGTGCTGCCGGGGCCTTGATTTGAGTAGCAGCCTCAGTGACCCAGTAATTGGGTTGTTTCTCTAGCTTCAAGGGATGATGTTCGTTTGGTGTAGTTATTAATCTTTGGACAGCTTGGCCATCAGCTCTTTGCTCCTCCTGCACTTTTTTTACACCAAACACGTGTATTACATTCCCTCTATATGAAATACCTTGAGTTTTTTCCTGTTTGACTTATACACAAAGAATACACAAAAATGTACCTCTAGCTCAAGTCCATGACTCATGGTTTGTCTTCATTTGCGCAAGGTAACAGCCACCAGTCACTCTGGCCATCCTGGATACTTATTTCCCTAGCATCATTCTCATTCCTGTCTAGATATTTTAATTTACTCTTTTCCTTTTTCTTTGACTTCTTCTTATCCTTTTCTAATTAATTCAGAATGTATTAAAATTCAAGACCCAGCTCACATTCTAAGGCTTTCATATAGCTGGCCTTAGTGATGGAGTCCTGGAATGGCACTGTAGGTTAAACACTGGACCACAAGGTCGATTTGAACCACAAAGCCAGAGATTCACACCGACCAACCACTCAGCTGAAACTCTATATACAGGGTTGCCATGAGTCAGAAGCAACTCCACGGCACTTAACACTACCACCTAGTGACAGCCACTGTTCTATGGCTACTTAGCTCCTTTACCACTGACTTTGATTCTGCGGGAACAAGGTGGAAGTTATGTAAAAATTAATAAATGAAATACTGTCTTTGGCACATTTTTCTCAATATTTTTATAATGTTTCATATACAGATAGATGATATCTAGAAATTGGCATCAGAAATGTCTATATAAATATCTAAAGATTTGCTGATAGGAGAGAAATTTCAAACATATGAAGTAAACTTTTGAAAGTATCCACTATGTTGTTGTTGTTGTGAAATGCTGTCGAGTCGATTCTGACCCATGGCGACTCTGTGTAGGATTTCCGCGGAGCAGCTGGTGAGCTTGAACTGCTGACGTTGCAGTTCAAATGGCTTTGCAGTCTGACACATTAACCCACAGCGCCACACAGTAAACAATAATTAACTTTGAAAATTCAATAAAAAAGGATATTTTACGTTTATGCTGATTCTTAAGGTGAAGGACAGGTAAAACTCTTCCGTATTTACTCACGACCCAATTCTAAAAGAAAAAATATGTCAAAAAAGAAAAAGATTAAGCATTGGACTGCTAACAAGGTTATCAGTTCAAACCAACAGCAATTCCTTAGAAACACTATATAGGGTCACTATGAGTTGGAACTGACTCAATGGCATTTAAAAACAACAAACATAAACATAATTCCTGTAAAAATTTATACTAGGAATAGGTCATGAGTATTATTGGGTTTAGTTTTCTGACAATAAAACAATGATGATTTAACATTAGAATAACAAAATCCATGATATAAATAAAACAAAAGAAAAAAACATTATATTAAATGAAGTATTAAAGGTATTTGACAAAAAATGGTTATGAATCGGGCTGCAAACTGCAAGGTTTGCAGTTCCAAACTACCAGCTGCTCCATGGGAGAAAGATGAGGCTTTCTGCTCCCGTAAAGATTTACAGCTTTGGAAACCCTGTTTAGGGATGCTATGGGTCGGAACTGACTCGAAGGCACTTAACAACAATCTTTAGACTGTGGGATAATTCAAGAACATTATCCATAAAGAAAGCAAAATGTTATTAAAAAGGAAGGAAAAGGTGTTCCGGTTTGCCAGGGTGGCCAGGCGGTGCTTGTGAGTAGGGGCTCCGGGATCGGGGAGGGGAAGCTCGTGAGTTGAGCCTCCCAGGTGGGAACTCACAGTCTCACGGCCCGCGTAAAGCTTAGTGCGCCAGAGGCTTAGACCCGTTTCATTGAGAAATCACTGTGCAAGGAATTACAGGCTTTTTGAAAGGGCGCCGCGGCATCCCCAGCTCCTTTGGGCTTGTGGGGGGGGGGCGGGAACCAGCTCGTGCGGAGCCTCCAGTGGCTGGGAGACTCAAACAGGGAGATCCACTGGTGACACCTACCCCAAGGGGGGATTTCTGCACATACAGTGGACAGAGGGAAGTTAGCTTAGGAGAGGAAGAGGGAAAAAATAAAAATAAAAAAGCCTGCAGAAAAAAAGAGAAATGGCGACTGTCTGACGTCATTAGGCGCCGACTAGGCCTGTCCGAGCCACTCCTGCCCTGCCCAATTGACCTGTGTGTTCCCAGGGCCCGCCGGGCGCGCGCGCAAGCCTGCCCGAGCGGCATACCGCAAGCCTGCCAGACGCGCAAAAGCGAGCGACCCGCCCCCCCTTTGAACCAAACAGCATCCCTCAGCCCTGCCGGGCGTGCGCCGCCGGCAAGCAGCTCACCTCACGCTCAACCGAACGGTGGAGCGCGGGGGCAGGCAGCCCACCTCCAGCCATGAGCACCCACTGGGGAACCCCATTTGGGTCCCCCCTTTATTTTTATTATTACCTTTTATCTTAGAAGGTTCAGCAGGAGCCCCGACGTGGCCCTGAGGGTTGGGGTGCCACTACAAGGACACCTGAA